AATGTGTGGCGTTCCGCTGTGGAAGTGGAGATGGTTGCTAATTGAGGGGGCACCCCAATGTGTATTTAGTGATGATGTGCCCATGAAACAAGCAGTTGGTAGTTTCCTGGTGAACCCTGGTAGAGTTCCTAATAGGCATGCATCATTCTGACTAAGTCCCACTCAATCACATGATGCCATCCATGCTTGCTCCCTGACACACTGGTGTTACCCACTCCTAATTCAATCCATCCCATGTTTAGGGAGCCTGTACCCAAACTAGGCATGCTTGTGTGCACTGGATGAGTAACTCCTTACCACAAAATGCCATCAGCTACTATTTTGGCCTTTAAGATGCTTCTTCATGCATCTGAAATGGATCTTTTCATCCAAGCCATTAACATGAGTTTATTCCAAGAAAGAGTTGTTCATGGGACTTTACAAAACTTAAAAAAACCCAAGAAGTCTGTCGCGTCAGAAATGGTTATTGATTTAGGTTTGGTGGCCATCATCACAAACCTAGTGGCCAGGCCCTGTACACCTGTCATTAGGATTGTCAGTAGTCTGAAAAGCTCAAGTCCAGAACCACAGATGGGAACACCGTCAGAGTCCTTCATAGCTCTTTCCTAAATATTCCCTGTTGTCAACGGTTCATTTAGATTTTTGTTATTTTGTGGATCCTTGGGCTGGACGTGGCATATAATGTCTCAGATGGACTTTTGCGTCACCTTGCAGCCCTTTGGCTTGCCGCATTGTGTGGCTTCAGTTAAAAGCTTGGTTTTGAGTTTCTGCTGTTGCTCAGCCTTTGCTGTCTTGAGCTGGCTGGCCTGGCTCAGCACCTGACTAGGTGCAGCTAGAATCTAGTGATACTACAACATAGTGATGCTTTACGTGAGGTTCATTCCTGTTCATCCCAGTCCCCAGGACAAGCCTCTCTCCTGCCCCAGGGAGGACCCTGCAATATCCCCTCCACTGTGTCCAGGAGGACCTCTTGCTGGCCCAGCATTGTCTGTTGTGAAGGAGCAGAAGCTGAAATACCCAAGTTTCTGCTCTCTTCACTTCATCACCTTGGTCTTTGTGAGAATTAGAGTCAGAGACCCAGGATCATGTCCTGGGCAAGCCACTCACTATTTACTGTGGGATGTCAGGCACTTAAGGAAATCGAGGTTCAGAGACATTATTTGAAAAGATGCAGATAGTAGGAACCCAGGGTTGTCTGGGTATCAGGTGAGACTCCAGGAGCCATAGAGTGCTTCACATCTGCTACATCCTGATTTACAGATATCACATTTAATCATGCTTACCATGGCCCAGACTCTCCACTAGGCCCTTCACTTGCAGTATCTATTTAAATAAATCCTCAGGATAACCTCATGAATCAGGTACTAGCACCAGCCCTTCAGAGACTCTGGCTTTATAGTTGTAAAATGCAGAATTGGTGCCTTGCCTGAGACTATTTAGTTATTCAGTGTCTGAGCCGAGCTAACACAGGGCTATCAAAGTGTGACTCTCACATGGTAGATTTGTAGGTGTCCAGGAACCCGACAGAGATAATTTTGGAAGAGGTTCTTTTTGGCATTCTTCAAATCATGCACCGTGAACAAGCATCACTCAGCTCCCAAGGAGGGCACACCCTGCTCTCAATCTCAGAATATTTTCAATTATATTTTAAATCACTGAGGATGTGAGGAATTCTGCTTCTCTTTTCCCAGCAATAACATCCTTCCTCAAACTATTGCCCTTGGAAATTTCAAGAGTCCTGACTGGAAAATTTCTGGAAAATAAAATTTCCCCTTTCACCATTCATCCCCTGCACTCCTGCAGGGCCCCCGGCGCTCCCTCAGATCCGGGCTGGTGGGAGCAGATCTTCTAATGCAGATGCAGAGTTAGAGAGGCAGCTTCTCCCCATCCATCAATTCTAACTGCATTCAAACCTTTTCAATATGTGGGCTCCTTGATAACTTCCACTGTATGGAAAACAAAATGGAGGGAAATGATTATTGGCACAAAAGGGGGAAGCTGTAAATCTTCAAATCAGATAGAGGACAGATTGGAACAATATGGGTTCTCCAAGGTTGCCATGATAATGTACCTAATAACTCTTCTTGGGCAAAAAGGCAATCTGCTTTCAATCAATCTCCCTTTTTCTGAGCAAAAATACCAATTAAGTTGAAGGAAGATTTTTTTTTTCCCTTCCTTTTTGATAAAGATGACTCTCCACCCCAGAAGTCATGCTGTAGCTTAAAGATATATATTTTCAATTGTCTCGAGTGGTATTGGACAGCTAGCACCAAATGAGAAAAGTCAATCCTTTTTTTTCCTCTCCTCTCCTGCCAACATTCGTCTACTTCTTAAGAGAAGTGAAAGCTAATTAAAGGCTTAAGGGATAATATTGATTGCATTGGAATATATTTTATATGTACCCAGCACATTTTCAACTAAGAGAACCCTGACTCTTTTCTAAGGCTGAATAAATCAGCTGGCTGAGTCTTTGATTCAAGGGTGAGAGGGTGAACTCATCTCCTTCCATTCCACTTCTTACACATCTGTCCTGGAGATGAATGATCTCAGAAGAGGAGGAGGGAGTGCTGGCAGATGTTCATTCAGTGCTTTGCATACAGGATGGGAAGGATGGACGTACTGGCACTTCCCCAGACCCATCATTGATTTGAGTCCAGCTCTGAATGATAACCAGGTTTACGCTGGTATAGAACTTGGAGCTTTGCAGTCCTTGGTGCATGAGGGTGGTGGGGTGGTATTAACCTCTCAGCTCTGTCCCCTGTTGAGTAGGGATCAGTAGCTTGCCCAGAATCACACACATCCTTGGTGGCAGAGCAGGGAATCAAGTCTGGCTTACTTTCAGGAACGGCCTCAACCACATATCTAGCCCATACGTTGGATTCATACTGGCCTTGTTCTTGATCATGGAATTTTGTGGGCAGAGAACATTAGAATCGTCCCCAGCAGCCCCACTGCCATTTGTGAAGAGGTCAGATCAGGAGGGAGATCCTGTTTCTCCATCATGTTCTGAACACATTGGCAAGCTCAGAATCAGAAATCTTCAGAATCTGCAGATACACACTGCTATGTAAAAGAGATAAACAACAATGTCCTACTGTATAGCACAGGGAACTATATTCAGTATCTTATAATAGTCTGTAACAAAAAAGACTATGAAATGGAATATGTATGTATAAATGAATCACTATGCTGTACACCAGAAACTAACAACGTTGTAAACCGACTATACTTCAAAAAGAAAAATCAGAAATCTTATTCAGAACATGCATATTCATTTGCAGCCTGTTTTGTCCATATAAATGCACACATGCCACAAGTAACCCTTTAAGACATGACATGATGAAAATGTATATAATCTAATTGTTCAGTTTATATCATGGGTTCTGACATAACGACGTGTTTCGGGAAGGAGTTAGTCATGCGGGTTTGGGGGCGTACAATTTGGATGGGTGGCCAAAGGACCTTCCTCAGCCTAGCAGGGCTGGCCAGAGAGCACAGTGATCACATTAAACGTCTCTTCGGAGGTAGCCCGTTGACATCCTTCCCTCCCCCACGACGGCCTCTGCTAAGTGCAGCGCCGTAGCAGTAACAGCCCATAATGGTGATATTATTAACTGCATCGTGCCTATTATTGATTTACTCTTTGTTCTGCATCATTATCCTTTCACCAATGAGTTTACCGCATTATTCTCACATACTTAGTCAAGCACCAAATTACAATGGAAGGGCAGGCTCTTGTAATGGCATCTTATGGAACATTACATAAGCGATCATCACTGCCTCCTCTTATGAGCTGCCTCCAGCCGCCAGTGAGCTTTCTGCCTTATTGGAACGTGCATGGAGCAATTATGAAGTGCAGGGGGCCTAAATTTTTCCCACGAAAGTACTGTGCTTCACGTCTGCCACCTGCCCGTGCCTCAAAGCCCAGCCAGGGGCACAGGAACTTGGGCTGAGGCTTTTGTGCAGTCTCTCTCCTGGAAGCCAGCAGGCTTGGCAGTGGGGCTAACTCTTGCACCACAGGACTTACTCCTGCTTGAGCATCATATATAATGAATGTAAGTGGCCACAGTCCAGCCTGGTGTCAAAGTCACGTTGGTCCAGGAGCCCAGAGATGTTGGGAGCACTGTTCTTCCAGTAGCTCTGGAAGATGGGTCCATCTCCTCAGGGGGAGCCAATGTCCCCAGAAACGGAAGTCCAAACCACCCTGAAACTAGGCAGACAATTCCATCCTCATCCCTTCCTAGCTTCCCCCCATCTTGAGGTAAATTTCTTTGTTTCTCGCGGAAATCTCAGGCACCCTGAGGAAGCAGCTGTCTGGGGTCGCACAGCCTGCGGCGTGATCTCAGATTCCATAGGTGTCCCATCCCCATTTAGCCCTGAGTAATGCTCACTTACTGTAAAGTGTTACCTGCCCCCATTGTCGGAGGAGTTATGGCGGAAAAATGCAAAATTTCCTTTTTACTGCTTATGGCCAGCAGGGCCCATAACGTGTCAAGCCGCACATTAGCCACCCTGATAAAAGTCCGCTTTCTTACACACAAAATCATCGTTTCAGCAAGATTTGTTATCTCATTACCTGATAAGCTTTATGTCATAAACCAAGACTCATTCGGTAAATCTCCTGGGAGGACGCTTTGTGGGCAGAAAGGGAGAGATATGAATCTGCAAGGGACTTGATAATGCAGCATTTAAGCGCGAGCATAATGTCACTTATTGTTAAATGCATAAAACCACTTGGCCAAACGGTTGGGCTTTTAATAGGATTTTGTGCAGCATCAGGTGAGAAGCCATATGCCTTCTCTGTCGGGGCGTCTCTGAGCACCTTCCCGCACTGCTGCTGCTTTGCCTCACAGCCCTCTGGGGAGGGGAGCTGGGCTTTATGGAGGCCTCCTTGGAAGAGGCGAATGCGTCCCTGCAGCTGCGTGCTTCCTCTGTCTTGCCGGGGTTGGGTGCCGGGTCCTCGCTGGGCTAGCCTCCTCTCATTGTCCTCTCTCATTCAGGCACATTGTGGTCTGTGGACACATCACTCTGGAGAGCGTTTCCAACTTCCTGAAGGACTTTCTGCACAAGGACCGGGACGATGTCAACGTGGAGATCGTCTTTCTTCACAAGTAAGAGGCCTCTGCCGTTTGAGACCCTCCACCCAACCAGGCGCCCCTGAGGAGGACTTCCTGAGTGTCTGTAGGAGGGGTGACATGAGGGTGGCATTGAGGTACCAGGCAGAGTTAAATCAGCCATGATCTCTGCTGGCCTCGTTAGAGAGGACAATGTGGAAGCAATGGAAAGGGAAGCAACACACTAGCTCAAGGTGAGAACAACACCTGTCTCTATGGAGGCGATTCCGGCTGATAACAGTAGGGTTCATTATGGGTCAAATATGTCATTACTGTCCCCTCAGCTGTCTGGGTCTGTGTGATCCAGATGTGTCCACAGTGTCTGGTGTGGATTGTTTATGAGTGCAGGACCAACATAGCAACCAAGCAAGACACAAACGTAAGAGGAAGCAGGGTATAAGGTGATAGTAGCGATAATCACAGCTGCCGTTCCCAGAGACCTGCAATGTAGCACACAGAGCTGGTCGCCATGCACACCGTCTCTCCTCACATCAACAGACGGAGCAAAAGTATGTGCTCAGCTCAGAGTACTCGATCTGAATCCTGACTCAACCACTTACTGAACAAGTTATTCAACCCCCTGGGCCTCAGTTTCCACATCCATAAGATGGGGAGATCAAAATGGTTTCTATCTACCTTCTTGGGCTATTGTGAGAATGAGAGGAAGTAATCCATTTAAAATATACAGAGCAGAATCAGGCATACAGTAAGTGCTCAATGAATGTTAGCTATTACTGTAGAAGAGAAAATGCATTAGGCTGCACAGTGAACTTCAGAGGTAAGTCTTATCCAGTTTGTTTTACAGGTGAGGAAAGCAAGGTCTCTCCCCTCCACTCAGTGCTGTTGCGATTCTTTGCCTGATCCCCTTTTAGGTAAAAGGCAGCCTGCCACTGGGATGGAGAGTTGGGAGGCCTGGGCATGTTGATGTGGGTGGCCCTGTCCTCTTCTTTTATGATCATGGGGCCAGTCTTAGCCCCAAGTTGCCAAGGGACAAAGTGCACGTGCGGGTGTTGGCTTGACATGGGGTTGGCTGCCCAGAACTCAGTCCTGCTCTGAGATCCCAGTCAGGTTGACTGCCCTATGGCTGTTCTCGGCATCTCCTTCCTTCCGGCACTTGTGAACGCGAAACCGGCCGCCATGTTCAAGCTCTAGCATTTTTCTCCTTAGTGGTGGCTTCTCCAGGTTCTGAAAAGACCGGCCAGGCCATGGGCCCAGCAGCAGATCCCGTACATCTAATTCACTCCTTAGCCACTGATCACCCGCAGTGGGGCCCATCCTCTGCTGAGCACTTGGAAGGTTCAAGAGCAGTGTAGGGTACAGGTTCTGCCCTCGTTTTGGTTGGGCGTCTCAGTGAGCACATAAACAATAAGGAGAGCACAACAGGGACCCTGTACTGACAGACCAAAGTCAGTTTAATCCAATGGCGGAATCACATGGGGCATCTGCATCGCGGAGAGACCACACTCCTTGCATTTCTAGGGCAGGCGGGCAGGCATCCTGAAAGAGGCTTGACTTGTGATGGATCTGGAAGACTGGTGGGATTGGCACAGGCAGCTGCTTTTCTCTAACCCACTGATATAGTCTGAATCCACAAGCTGGCTGCTCATGCTTCAATTGCTGGGATTCACCTTGGTGTCCCCAGCATCCATCCATGTCAGCCTTGTAGTAGATGGCCCAGTTAATTAACCTCTCAAAGCTCTGGGTTAATAACATACCTTCCTCTAGAGTTGTTTTGAGGTTTAAATGAGTTAATACTTGTCAAGGGCTTAGAATGGTGTCTGCCACATAGTAAATGCTCAAGAACATTAGCGGTTATTATTATTACTGAGTATTACATACATGGTAGATGAAGGTTGATTAACTCAGTCCTTGGCACCTAGTAGGTTCTAACTAAATGTCATCTCCCAGTGCCTAGCGCAGTACCTAACAGTGAGTAGATGTTTTTCATCTCTGCAGAATTAATAAATGAATGAATAGGTCAACCATTTTTTTTTTAAATCCTTGCCCTGCAATGGGAAAGACGGCAGTATGTAGCTCAGCATTGAGAATGATGAGTAATGTACGCACATGTGAATCAAGAATGGTACAGGGAGTGAATTAACTGTGTGTGTGGCTGCTCAGAGGTGACATTTTTGATCTGGGTTCTGGGTGGGGGGTTGGGTGTTGGGGGTGGTGAAAAGCTCATGAGGTGGAGAAGCATAGAAAAGGCTTTTGGTGGAAGGAGCAGCAAGAGGGTCTGCCAGGAAGACCTTCGGCTCACCTCTGGTGTCACAGCCTCAGTTTCTCAATTCATAAAATAATGGTTCCGTTCATAATGAAGTTGAAGACATTTTGCCCCGTAGACCTCAGACTTTGTAAAGGTTATGAACTTCTTTATTTTAACTTGGTCTTGGTTTAGGTTTTCAGCTGGGCGGGGGTTTGACTTCCCTTGAGTGCAAGCCTGTTATTTACGGCAAGAGAGAGGGCTGCTTTGAACGTGGAAGCTTTTCCCCAGGTCTCTCTCTGTGAAAATTGGCTGGAATGGGGGCTACAGTACCTGAGTCTATTATGTTAATGGCTGTTTTTTTCTCTCTCTGCACAGCATTTCCCCCAACCTGGAGCTTGAGGCTCTGTTCAAACGACATTTTACTCAGGTGGAATTTTATCAGGGTTCGGTCCTCAATCCACATGATCTTGCAAGAGTCAAGGTAAGAAGGAAGAAGTGACTTCTGCTTTTACTCCATCTGGCGGGGGGAGTGTCTCTCGTGAGGGGACATGCCTCCCAGGGTGGCCAAGAGTCACCTCCAAACTCCTAAGGAGATAAACAGATAATACCCACCTTGATATCACCCTTGCACCGGTCCCAGGACTTTGTTCTGCTGGTCCGTGGTAGACCACCTATAAGCATTCCACACCTGGATTAGTCATAACTGGCTAGACATTGCCAGTTCCCTTAATATCAGCATTACAGAAGGAAGTAGACCAGTTGTATGGACTCAGTAATCTCGTATATGACATCATAATCAAGTAATTCCCATCTTGAATAGTTAGGTTTCTTTTTTTTTTTTTGTGGCCATACTGGGGATCGAACCCAGGTCTTCATGCATGCTAAGTGCACCCTTTACCACTCAGCTATACCCTCGTCCTTTCCCCGTCTAGAATACTTAAATTGGACCTAGCATAGCTCTGAAATCTGTTATTTACATCAGAAAGGAACATTATGATAAAGTGTAAAATAAAGTTTAACCAAGCCATAAAATGTTTTGAGCTTCCTTTTTGTCTTCACCAAGGACTAAAGGCGCAAAACTAAACACACAGGTTATCTGATAGCCCTTGGTAATGAGCTAATCTTTCTTTTTAGAAATTAATAAGTTAGAATCTTCTTATAAACCACATTTCTAAGGCTTATCAGGGAAAGGGAGGCCGCAGAATGGGATCTGCTACTTTACTCATGTTGTATAGATTTGGTAAGCACGTGCAGTATTGCATGCCAGCGGGCACAGAATAACATTGTGAACCCACTGACATCTACATGCTTACTGTGGCCACCGCACAGTTCTGTAAATAATGTAATTGGCAAACATGAATAAGCCAAAAGGATTTAAGTAAGTTCTTTGCTTTATGAAAGAAAACTAGAGACAATTTGTGGTACACGGTGGAGGAAACCATGCCCTCCCACCAAACGCAGGAACGGTCTATTAAGTGCAGCGTCCCAGGTGAGGACAGAATGGAGCCAGCATGGGGATTCTTATGCTAACGGGTCCAGTTAATCTTAGTATTATCCAGACATGATCCAAATTATGTCTGATGTGAAGTCTTACGGGAACTTGGGGAGAATGGTTATTGTTGATGGACCTCATTTAGCTGCAAGCAGTTATTAGCACAACTCATGATCCCCTCAAAGGAGTAAGTCTCTGCTGGCATGTGTTTAGATAAGTCTGGAGGTTATATTTTGAGGGTCACCTGTAACACATCATTTCCTACACATAGGTTTGTTGGCTTTTGAATGAATACCTGAATGCTAATTGAATATTAACCAGCACTGAGCTGTTGTTTGAGTTAGGGCTCTCATTTCCTCTTATTCCACAGTGAAGAGGTGAAAAAAGGTAAGATGAAGGACTTCGGTGTCTAAATTTCTGAATCCCCAATTCCTCAGTTAACTTGGTAGTCTGAGAGAAGGAGTTTCGCTCAGCTCACCTAACTCCATTTCCTGACAGGAAAAATGAGGATAATACTGCAGACAATGGGGAAAGGAGATGGAGAAGGGCCTGAAAAGCTTAATTAATTTTTATCTCAAGAAATCTGGAAAGCTTACACATAAGAGGCTATGCAAAATGAAAAGTATAATTACCAAGGTACATGTTGTACCCTCCAATGGCAACATGATGAAATGTTTATACCATAACAAGAACTTGCAACTTACACTTTTGACAAAAACTATAATCTCTCAGGATTATTTTTTTTTTCTTGTTCCTTACAAAGAACTAGGTTCCCCAATAGCTGTCAGCAGAGAGAGACTGCAACCAAGCATGGCTATTTATATGTTTGTCTTCTGTGATTTTCCTTTCGGTGTCTTAGATAGAGTCAGCAGATGCCTGCCTGATCCTTGCCAATAAGTACTGCGCAGACCCGGATGCCGAAGACGCCTCCAACATCATGAGGTAACCTCAGGGAGGTAGGGAAGGCTGTGTGCTGAGTGCTCCCTGGCCACTTGCTGCACTGTCTCTGTGGGACCTTCTTTCCCCATTAGCCTCCTCACAGCTTGCCACCTGCACAGGCCCAGGGTGGGAGTGGAGGGCAATGACACAAGGCATCGTCAACCAAAAGCTCGTCCTTAAAAGATGGGAGCTCTGCGGCTCACAGCCAGTCTTGGGTTGGAGATACTTTAGACAGGACTAGCAAAGGAAAGATAGGTTTCACTGGGAGTAGGCCTGAAATTGGGTACCATGTTCCCTAAGAGGGAGTGGGTCTGAGAGATCTTAACTGTGGATGATTTCATCCCCCAGAGGACACTTGAAATATCTGGAGATGTTCTTTGTTGTCATAACATCTGGTGGGGAGAGGCCAGGGATGCAGTTCAACATCCTGCAATGCACAGGACAGCGCCCACAGCAGAGAGTCATCCAGTCCTGAATGTCAATAGTGCCAAGGTTGCAAAGCCCAGATTAGAGCTTTCCAAGTGCATCTAAGCACATTGACTAGTACCTCTCACAAAGAGGAGTTTGTTGACCAGTAATCTTGTTTCAACCAGTTTCCCCAAATGAAAGTTTTCTTACTGAAAGCCTCCTTGGTGCTTTTAATACTACTATGAGTTTCTAAGATAATGATCCATAGAGAATTTCTCAAACCTATTTAACTGCAAGCCCACGCCCCCTCATTGGTTTTTTTTTTTTTAAACAGAACCTCTTCCTGGGAGGTGACAGTCTTTGGAAGACACTGCCCAGTGCCTTTCCTGCAAATGGGCAAGACCCATCTGAGGCCATTCCTTGGTCAACTTCGGCTCCTTATTCTTTTCTCATTCCAGAAACAAATTGTTCCATTTTTGTTCTTCCCATAGACCCATATTCCAGACATCTCGTGACTATGAAATGGCTAGGAAGTTAAGATATCTTGCCCTAGAGAGTTCAAGCTCTTTTGGATTCTTCTTTCCTGCTGCAACTCTTCTTTCCTAGTTAAGGGAGCTGGGAGGGGATAATAAAGAGGACCTTCTGGAGAAGAGATGAACCAAGAGAAAACACTTCACTCCCACTGTATTCCCAGGAGCTCTTGCCTAATTGTGAACAGCGATCCTCTGGGAGGAGGAGCCCAAATTCCCCTTGCCTTGCAGCTTGGTTTACTGTGTCCTGGGAGTTTACCTGAGCTGGAGGGGAGGGAAGTTGCCTTTGCCCAATGACAATACTCGCATCTCCTTTGCTTTGCTTTTGTCAGTGGCCCCGAGGAACATGAGCTTTCCCATCAGTGAGGTGGGGACAGTCCTCTGGAGCAAGTCCTCCTCAGCTTCTAGTCCTTGTGTCTGGCAGGTGACATCTGTCTGGCACAATGTTCTCTTTCCACTGGCTTTTCTTGGGCAATGTGCTTAGTGTGGTCGTTTTAAGGAAGTCAGTGCATGAACTCTTGTAAGCACTGGACTTGCCAGGCTGCTGGGAGATGGTGGAATGGGGACCTGCTTCCTCTCCTGGACCCATCAGCCCCTAACCAGTCACAGCTGGAAACTGACAGCGGTGGCCTCAGCTTAGGGAGCCCAGCTGGCCCTTTCCCTGCACTGGGATTTCCATCCTTCGCATTTGTGTCATACATAAAAATGTAGTCTTTAAGGAACGTCATCTTCAGAATTTCAAACAAAAAACCACAAGAAGATGAAGCTTCATGTTTTGACCCCCACGGAGGAATTTGGGGGTTGGAAATACCTTTTTTTTTAATTTAATAATTGAAATGATAATTGAATTGATAATAGCTTTGAAATGATAATGGCTTTGAAGTGGGCATTTCTCTTAATCACAATATTTTATTTAAGCCTGGACTACAATAGGGCTAATATGAAGATGTGGAGGTTACCAGGGTGACTGGCACAATGCCAAGGCATAAAATGGCAGAACAAAGGTGGTATCAGAAGGGTAATTAAGCCATCCATTAACGGGAGTCAGAACTGAGGCCCAGGTCTCCGAAGGAAGTGGGAAGCTCAGGGTTAAAAATGGGCTCTGTCTTTCCCTTATTTGTATAATCCTCCTTTCTCCTTAGTTTAATGAGACCAGTCTGCCCCTTTTGAAATTAAAATGTCAAAGATCCATTTGAAATGAGCTAATGCAGCAAACTGGCTGATGCTGTGAACTGAATTCCGAGGGCTGACAGAGGCTCCAAGTCCTTGAGTTATAAGCCTGGGCCAACACAACACTTTTTCAAAAATAAAATGAAATCCTTCAAGTGCAAAAGCCCAGGGTGAATTTGTGCAGGGAGAGGCTTGTGCGTGATCCATTTCTGAAATTCTGAAGTGGGAGCTTTTCAGACTGAGCTGCTCCCTGGGCTGGGCTGCCTTCTCTCCATCTTTGCACAAAAAGGGATGGGGCTTGGGGCGTTTCCTGGTGGGAAGTTGGTGGGGGTGGTCATCGTGAACGCACTGGCATTCCTGATTAGGCTCAGGCGGTGGGCCTTTCTGTGGAATTCCATTCTTTAGCCTTCCTTGTCACAGAAGGAAATGTACAGTGTCACCTCCGACAGAGTCGGTAATGACAAAAACCATAACTTACACGTGGAGAGCGCTTTTAATGATTTCAAAGCATTTTCACATCTGGTTTTTCATGTGCTGCTCATACCACGCCTGTGAAATACATAAAGCAGGTACTGTTGCCCGCAATGTCCAGACGAGGAAACAGTCACAGAGCGCCCAGGGATTTCCTGCAGGTCCCCCAGTTTGTTAGTATAATAGCTGGGACTGGAATGCAGGTGTTTCTGTTCCGCTGCTCCCTGTCCCTCCCATTTTAGCTCTGTGGTTGTCATGGGAAAGGAAGGGCAGCCAGGGTGGGGCCGGGCAGTGGGGGAGCAGCTTGGGAGAACTTTCCACTAGACCACGACCTCTGCAAGGCCCTGGCACTTATCTCTAACCAGCATCAAAGGCATCATTTGGATGCTGTTAGCTATCAAAGGCCGAGTCATTGGTCCTATCCCCAGAGCTCTGCTCAGAAATCATTTTTGTGAGAGTGGCCATGTATGTGTGACAATTAGAATCATTTGTCAGGTTGCTTGTATGATTTGTCACTGTTGCCTCATGTTGTTAACTCGGAGAATTGGGCTCAGAGCCAATTGTTTCTGGGCTCCTCCCTAGGGTATGTGAGATTGCAAACCTCTGTTGGCCCCACTAGTTGGACTGGCTTTATTTAGATGCCTGTGGGGGCAGTGAGCCTATGACCCCTGCTCCAGAACCCCCACCCCTGGTCCACACATGCCGTCACCAAGGCACCACGGGATCTGTCTCTTCTTTGATGCCTGGGACACAGTCTGTGGCCATTCTGTGATTTCTTTTTCACACGACCATGGCGTATGTCGGTGGAAACTCAGTTTAACTTGGCCCAGTGCCTGCAACCCCTCTGAAGGCCCTGGCGGCTGGCCCCATGTTCACTCCATTTGGATGTAATCAAATTAATCTCCCCATCAGACTCCAAGGGTAAGGCAGACCCTGGCTCAGCTTTTGTTCTTTTCTCTTTCAGAGTAATCTCCATAAAGAACTACCATCCGAAGATAAGAATCATCACTCAGATGCTGCAGTATCACAACAAGGTAGGATGGCAAAGCCTATCGCAGGCTCAGAGATATGCACGCGTGGGTCCAGTCTCTTCCCCTCATGATACAGCTGCACAAGCACCTGCACACGCACACACATGTGCATATATGTGCACACACGCCCATGCAGTCCAAAGGCCAAGTGAAGAGGGGTGATGGGTTAAAAACCTCCCTGGGATATTTCTTCAGTCCAAACATATTGTTTGCAGTTGGTCACTGGAGGCAAACTCCTTTGCATACTGACTCATACATTCAAGAAGCATCTCTTGGTTCCCTAGGTTCAGAAATACTGACATGTTCTTAGATCCCATTCCAGCAACTTCCATTTTTACGTGCTGCACTCATTTCTTCCATCGGTATTTATTGAATACCTAGTATGTGGTCAGACGTTCTGCCTAACTCTCCAACCCCTGATGGATATAGTGAAGTCCTATTTTGTGCCTGTAGAGATTTTGCAGTCAAGGTGTAGCGTGTCCCAGGCAAGTGATGGCCCTTTTCTGTCTGAGACCAGATGAGCTTAGGGGAACGGACCACATGTTAGGTGGAGAATGTGGAACACGGCATTCTTAAGTTCAAGATGAGAATTTGCACGGCTGAATTCAGGACAATAGTTGGCTCTCCAGAGATTAAACAGGAATTTTCCTAGCGTTACAGTTTACAAGGGGGATGGGAAAGAAAACAAACCTTGGAAATCTATGCTGTTTCTCTTGTGACTCCTTCTCCGTAAACCGGAGGTCCCGTCTGTCATTCAAAGGCCGTTCTCCTTCACTTGGCTGTCAGTAAAGTCCCAGGGAGACAGCTTTAGGGGAGGGAAGGTGGCACCTTTCCTCTGTTTGATGTGAAACCAGTTATGAGAAACCGAGGCCACTTAGTACCTGGAGCCAGGTGTCCTCTCGGAACAGAATAACTCCCTGCTGGGCTGTGAGTGAGCGTGTGTCCCATCTTATGGGCCATATTCCCCACGAAATAGGCAGTCAGGTGACCCAGAGTAGACCGCCTTCTGCCAAAAGCGCCAGCGCCATGCCATTATTTCTTAATTGCTGGCAAGCGCGGCCCCATTTTGCCGGGTGGAAGCCCATCAGAGGCGTCGTTGAGAGGCACCTGCTGGCGGTGACTGGGCCCCCCCGTGGGCTGCTGTCCACTGCCGACCGCTGCCCAGCCCTCCCAGGTGGTGCCACTGCAGGCAGCCTTGTGCACCAGCCAGTGGGTTTGTTGGTGGGCACCCCAGGTCACCGTGTCCTGTTTGTCTCTGGAATACCCAGGACCCCTGAGAGATAAAGTGAGGGTATTGGCAACTCACCAGCCTCAATCTGGAGAAGTTTTTTTGACAGCAGCCCCTGCAGGTGGAGGTGCATTTTATTAGCAAGGCTGTGGCTGGTGACAGCTCCCCAGGCAACGAACGCTCCCTCTTTGCTTTGTGATTTGAGATTTCATTTCGTGTGGGAGTGCTTTAAGCTGTTGTTTAGGTTTTTGGCTGAATTTAGATTGAATAGGAAAATGAATGTTGTATGTTTAGAAAGGGATGTCAGGTCCTTTTTTTTTTTTTCTCCTTCCAATGAGTGCTAATGCAGCATCTTCAAGAAATTAAGAAGGATCTCAGCTATGTGATTCTTGCCAAACTCAAAAGTAGTTCCATGAACCTAGGATCCAGATGGCATCTGGTCAGGATTCCTATGATCACAGCAAGCTGCCTGTCTCTTACAAACCTCTGCACTGTAATTACTCGGAAACAGGGGTGAAGACATCAACCAATCCATGATTATTTGCTTAAAACACCTTTTGTTGAAAACCACCCCAATCTATTAGGGTGTCAGAATTAGGAAAAGTCACTTATGAGACTTCGTCCTTGTAAGATGTGCGGGGCTGCAGGGGACATAGTGACTTTGACCCAGGGCCCCTTTCTCTACCATTTCATTTCTGTCTTGTAGAGAAAGAACAGGAAGTTCACAGGTCAGGTTTTGCCATCTCATTCCTCGTAGATGTGCAGATGGGCATTCTTCACTGTGCTTTACAATTTTGCTGTTTTCTAAGGTTCTTTTATATACTTTTCAGTGTGTTTTTCTTCCTCTTCTCTTACAATACTGTTTCGCTTCTTCTCTTGGTACTTTCACTTCACCCATGACTAGATGCTCAGAGGTCTCCATCCATTAAACTTTGTGTTCAGGAAAGAACCCAGTGCATGTGTGTACACTTATGTCACTGTCAACATATTCCAAAGGATAGTTAATTCCACAATTGGATACCAGGTTTAAAATATGGAAAATTTCAATCCTCTATGACTTAATGCTGGTAGTATTCTAGGACCTAGAGGAGTGCAGGGAAGCTGTCTTCTTTCTCTCCATATAAAACTGGTCCTGGGCTTGTCATCATGATAATCTCAGACATTTGTGTCGTATTTTATGGTTTTAAAAGAGCTTTGACATCCGTTTTCTTGTTTAGCCCTCATTTGACCATCTGTGCATTTTAGCATCCCATTGTGACTTCAGACCGTAGGTCTAAGCTCTGTGTCCGGCAGAGCATCTCTGGTGGGTACAACTCCTGGTCACTTGGCAGCCAGTGATCTAAGAGACAGAACTGCCAACTGCCCACCTTCTCATTAAATAGAGCCACTGCATGTTGAGCCAAACTCTGGTTCCTCAAAGCAGGACCAAGAGAAGGACTCATGTTCTCCAAAGTGAGATCTGTTTACTGTCAATAGAATTTATGGAAACACTCAGCCTGGCTGTCTCCAAACATGGAAAAAAGATGACTCAGGGCATTTTCTGATTTGAGTGCCAATGGCTTAAAACTCTCTAAGGAAAGAATGGTTTATGACATCTTGGAAAGTTGTCACTCCTGATGATTTAGCTATTAATGGACTTTTAAAAATTTCCCAGCAGGCTCTAGAGAAAGAGGTCTTTGTCTCTGACCTGGAAGCCAAGTCCCAATGGCCCAGTAAAGATGCAAGTTCTTTGAGCTTTCTCACTGTAAACCTGACACTTGAGCAAAAATGTTGAAGTGTTTTCTCTGAAATGACCTTTCTTTCTCCTGGTGGCCTCCCCAAAGTTGCATGCAGAGTGAGAGACAGAACTGGGGATGGAACTCATCTTTCTTGGTTTCCCAGGACAGCTTGTTTTCATGTTATTTGTTTCTGTTTTTGTTTTCTTGTTGTTGTTGTTTTGAGATGAGAGTGGCCCAGCAGCAGAAACAGAGGGAAGACCTGGTCCTGCTAGACCTGCCCTAGCAGGTCTGATTCTCCAGATTAGAGAGGATTTGCCTCTAGGCTCCTGTGTAGTAATGCTGGCATCTTCCACCGGACCCAAATTTCCCTCAAATGGAAAAGGACAGAGTTGCCAGAAACAAACAATTTGAGTTCCTGGGTCAGTCTTCCCTCTTTCCTTTGTGCACACACAGACTTCCCTTCCTTCCTTTGACATATCCCTCCTGGCTCCCTGACCTATGATTGCAGAGGATAAGATGGCCAAAAAAGAAGGCTGAGAAATGAAACAGATCTGACTTTTCTGTGTAATAGAATATAAAAAATGTCTAAGGAGTTCAGTACCAGATGGGGACGTGCAGGACCCAAGACCTCAAATCCTGGGCTTCATATGCTGGATGGCACATGGGATGTGAGAAACCATCTTGGAAAGGTTTCATTTGTTTGTTTGAAGGTGCCGTGAAGGTGGTGTGGTGTCTGTCTGAGGCTTGAACCACCCAAATCTCCTTTCATACTTGATGATTTACTTGTTTGTGACTTAGATTTAATTTCTCCTCAGTTCTTCTCAGATGATGTTCATAAACATGAGTGCTTCTCCTCTTAGCCTGAGATACTCTCCATGATGCCAGGGAAGTAAAGGGGAAAAGTAGCCTTCTCAAGCCAGTGAAGGGAAGGGAGAGAAATGGGATAAGGGGCAGGGCTGAAGGCTGGAACTGAGTCTATGGTGTGGGAAGGTTCTCTGATACTCAGCTTGGTGGAAATTCCCATCTGCTACGGCCCACACTTGGGGCTATTTTAACTGCTCTCATCAGGGAGGATACAGTCAACTCTCCTAGGAGTAAACACTGCTGGGTTAGGGCTTACAAGATTGTTATAGAACCAGATTTTGCAAGAAGGAATTTCACAAGCGTGGTATTTCTGAAAGCCAAGCATGGAGCCACTGGACGTGCTGTTGGTTCCACAGTGGAGTCTTCTGTCTCCTTCTAGGAGCACACCTGTCGTACATAGTCCTGCAGGTGAAGGGCAGCCTCCTTGGTGCTCCTTGCATTTGCTGATAAGTGGCGAGAAACAGTAATTTCAGGGCCATAGAGTCTTGGCATTGGCAGGAACCAGAAGGGCTTTGACTTCACCTCCCGTGCAAAGCAAAAGTCTATCTACTGTGACTTGGAGAAACACGTCCTGAGTTTTAGGGGCGAAGACCTTGCATTTTTGGAGACAGCCTTCTCCATTTATTAGACAAATCACATCTTTAGGAAGTTCCTTTATAAAACAAGCCAAAAAATGGCTTTCTTGTAATATACACCAGTCAGGCCTAATTCTGGCCCCTGGAACAAAGCAAGAGAAGCCTAATCTCGCCCGTTGCAGCAGCACCTGAGCTATTCACAGGTGAGCATCCTGTCTCCCGGGAAGCCTGGCCCTTCTTCAGGCCAAATGCTGCTGGTTCTCTTAACTCTTCTTCCAAAGATATTTTTGAGAACCTGCATCTCCTTATGCTGGTCATTTTTGTCTGGGAGTTACTCCGGTTATCAGCTTCCATTTTTAAATCTGACTGTTAAAGCTGGCTCAAGTACTGGGGAACTGGCCTGACAAGTTCACAGCAGAAGGAAACATTGATTTCCCATGATCTGGAGACCATTTCTAACAAGCTCACATTGACTTTGTCTATAATCTGCCATAGGGTTGGCCTCTTTTAAGGTGAGTTTTAGTTACCCACACACATAATTTTTTTTTCCTGCCCCTCATGTCTGCTACCAAGTTAGGGCTTCTCGTTTTGAATGTATATAATTGATTTTTTTAAAAATCTAAATGCTGTATTTGACATTAAGTCCTTTTAAATCTTTTCTGGTTGGTTTTCTTGCTCATTTTTCCAGCTCTGGAGAACTTTGGAATCTTGATTCTTTCATGTAGTGTATTATCTGTGACTCTTTGCTTCACGCCACTTAAAAATAATTGGATGAGCATGTCTCTGGGTCCTTATCTCGGGGTCTGACCTTACTGTTGAATAGGCTCAGTCCATCTGTAAGACATTCTAATGTGTCTACACTGTGACGTGCCTGATGACTGAGGGCAATGCTTCTTGAACTGTGGTTCCTAGATCAGCAACTCAGCATCACCTTGAACCAGTTAGAAATGCAAATTCTCCGGTTTCATGCCACCCCCAAAGAACCAGAAACTGGGAGAGGGCAGCATTTTGTGCTGGTACAAACGCGTCAGGTGATTCTGATGCCCACTCAAGCTTGGGAGCCGCTAATCAGGAGTTTGGGGAAGGCAAGATAAAAAAGGAAGATCAAATACACAGGCGCCTGACAGCGTTAGAGTTTTTTGAGGAGCTAATTTAGAACAACCTAGCCAGACATCGTTGATAACATGGGCTGATGTCACAAGAGGCAATACCCTCTGGACTGTTTGGCTAAATGACAAACCTGAGGGAGGACTTGGGCTGGGGAGGTGCAGAATGTTCCAGAGAGAGAGAGAAGTCCCATGAATAGAAGAGCTGAATAAAACACAAAATGCCAAGCCCAGGCACGGGAGAGGGAGGCTGAGTCTGGACAGCCCTGAGCCTTTGGGCGATGCTGCGTTTCCCTGAGGGAAGATTTTAAACAATTGAGCATTGAACCAAGTAAGGGCTCATACCTGTTTTCTGTTTTCACAGGCCCATCTGCTAAACATCCCGAGCTGGAATTGGAAGGAGGGAGATGATGCAATCTGCCTTGCAGAGCTGAAGCTGGGCTTCATAGCCCAGAGCTGCCTGGCTCAAGGCCTCTCCACCATGCTCGCCAACCTCTTCTCCATGAGGTCATTCATAAAGGTAACGTCTTGTCCTATTAGAGCACATTAGCCCCGGATTCAATTTGTCGTGGGGTTGAGTAGAGAGCACAGCTTAAACTCAAAACAGATCGACGGGCTTTAACCACTTGGGTGAAGGAGAAATTCCTTGTTACGGATTTGGGCACACAGCCAACTGCTTTCCAAATTATGTTTTTATTTTTATTTGGCACATCCACGGCCATTAAATGATTGTTCAAAGCACAATCCTCTCTCTCTTTTTTATTTCTTTTTTTTTTTAGATAAACCACATGTTTATCTATCAACAAAGCCTCTGCTGTTAAAACAAAAATATGATTTATATACATTCCATATGGCACTGGAGCGCCTAAAGAAAAGAATTATCATTTTGCTCTTTTACATCGAGTGGCTGGTGGACCTCTCACTGTGTGGATAAATGCAGACCATGTGTTTGTGCCGAAGCCCAAACCCCAACAACATAATTCATTTATTTATTCCTGCACAATCAAGGAGGCCGGCAGGGCTGGCATGCCGTGGTTGTTTGAATGGAGAGTGAAAGGGGGACCTGTGTTCTGGGCAGCAGAGCCCTTTACACCGCGAGACAGGCGGTCTGCATGTGCTCATCCCCTGGCCAGTGGTTCACCCCATGGAGCTGGCTGGGCGGCCCCTCCCAAGTCCCCAGAGTGGCCTCTGCCCGCTGGACCAACTCAGACAAAGAAAGACCCAACTGTGCTCACAGGCCAGGCTAGGGTTGTTTCCAGGACACCGGCTTAAGGGGCCAGGACCCTGCTATGAGGGCTTCTGGAGCTCTGTGCAATGACCCCAGCCCTTATCCTTGGGTTGCTCTTAGGCTAGACAGTCGCGGCGGCAAACCGGTGCAGTAAATCCTGTCTGTGTCAGGCCCCCCTGATTGGGCATGGGTGGCCATTAGCTCAGGGTCTGGGCTCGTATTCCTGTCCCTGGTATTGTTCATTTATTTACACCCCGCTTCCTGAATCCCTAGTGATTGAGGTGGGAAATTAGTGAGTCACCAGGAGGTCCTGCCAAGGTGCCAGAGACTCTGAAATCAAAGGTGTGAGGTCGCCAGCATTTTGCCACCATTGTCGCCGTGTCCACCACCGGCAGGCGGTTAGGTGGTGGAGTTGCGGAAGTGGCCGGGGACCCCGTGAGTGGGATGGGTGGGAAGGTGGACTCGCCGGTGGTGGACTAACTCCGTGTCTGTGCTCGCCCTCGGCGTCCACTCGTGGTGTGACTTAGAGCAGGATTTCTCCTAGGTCCTCACCCTCTGGACCCACCTGATTTACACCATTTAGCCACTTTCTAGTGAACGTTACTCTACATCAAAGAACAAATCGGTTTTGGAGTCCCTTCAGTCCCGTTAGCAATGGACGCCTTGATGAAAACACCCTTTACTGACTCTGTGCCCAAAGACCTCAGCTTCGCAGAACTCCTGGCTCAGACCTGGCTCACAAATAAGGACATTGCCTTCCTTTCAATGTCTTCTTAAATCCGGGCTGCTAGGCCCCTGCCTGGACACAACGGAATGCAGGCAAAATGGAGGCGGCAGGGAGGTCTTTGTGGCTGGACTTAGAGACAAGCCCAAAAGCCAGATGTACTCTTGTGTCTCCCAGGGCTCTGATATTCAACACAAGGATAAAGGACTGTCACCAAGAGAGCTCCTCTGGCTTGTCCAACCAAGCTCTGGTGGTTTCTTCCAGCGGGGAGTTCCCGCAGCACCAGGCACATGGCCTGAGATGTGGGCTCTGCTTCCTTGAGCTGAGGCAGCACCGCCTTGGCAGAGCCCCGCTGCACACGGGGACTTGACATGCGTATGTTTTGATTTTGTGGTGCCTGCGTGGAAACTCGAGCTGCCTGTCAAGAAAATTAATAAAATAGATGTGATGCTGATTCTTCAGTGTTATTACCAGCAGGGAGTAAGAACTTCTGTCCAACTTTCCTCAAGGCCCTCGGGGGCCTCACCTCTGCAGCCAAGGACGTCCCCTCCAGCCCAGCTAATCCCACTGCCAAGTTCCTATTTAGGAAGAGCCTGTGGGAGAGGCCCTGGTGTAACTCAAAACACATTTCCCTTGCAGGGTTACATTACCATCTTATTTCTGTCCGCAGCCAACTCCTCCGTGTCTGTAGGTAGCTCTCTGCCTACGGCCTTTTGACATTCAAGGGATCTTTGTGTTGGAATTTGCTCAGGCACATGACCTGGAAATAGCAAGGCTTCCCTTCCTATATTTTTTTTTGTTTAAAATCGAGACACCGTAAGCACGTGCACCCCATTCTGTGGGTTAATCTTTGAGCTCTTCCCTCCAAGTCCCAGATCCTTGTCTCTTGTAGGTCATAATAAACATCATCCCGATGCTCTCCTTGGCGTGTTTTATATGTTATCTTCCATTCCAGGGGTCACAAAGCCTTTACTTATTTTTATCTGGGACTTTGGATGGAAAAGGGAATCTGTACATGAATTATAGTTTACAGAAATGGCTTCCTTCCCCAGTGTCCCCCGTGTCCCCCGTGTCCCCACGGCAGAGAATTCATCAGCTCTTCCATGGGGACAGGCAGGCCTGTTAGGATGGAGGGAGGTGGGATGAGGCTTTGGCAGCATCCCGTCCCTCGAGAAGACTTAGCATTTCTGGAGTGCAGTGTGAGCTCACCCTCTCTCTGGCTCAGGGCGGGTATGGTGTCTATTTATTTACGTTTGCAGAGTACGTGGTCCTCTGCACCTGCTGAAAGGAAGAAGGGCAAGACTGAAACAGGGATGACACATCACAGGCAGAAGCACCAGGCTTTGCGAATGCATGAGATCAAAAAGCCAGGACTGACAGTGAAGGTGGTAAAGTTCCATGAAAGAGAGGAGGACTACTGGTATACGGGAGTTACAAGAGGGACCCAGCCCAGAGACACCAGGAAGTTCCAGGGAGCACCTCTTCATCCTTTCAGCAGGGTCCCTTTCAAAGACCCTCCCCCCCAGGGCACCATGTCATCGCCCCTGAAAGCCTAGCCCTAAATGGATCTAAACTTTTGGGGATACCCTTTAAATTTTTAGCCCACATCTTTGCAGGCAATGAATTCCTTCCATTTCTGTAAGAATTCCTAACAACTGTTAAAGACTTTTTTCTGGCTCTTTGTCCTCCATTTGCTCCACTTAGCCTTCAAGACCTGCCCTCTGCAGATTCTGGTGTGCTGGGATTTATTTAACAAATCCGTGCTAACCTTACAGCCAGTGCGTTTGTGAAAGAGGCTCAGGCCAGCCACTCAGGGGTCCTCTGGTCCAGCAGCTTATTGCTAATGACAGGTTAAGTACTTTTTCCAGCAGCACCCAGTTCTTGCCCTTGAATGCCTCGAAAGAGTGCAAGCAAACGTCCTGATTCCTGTGGCTTATCAACGTCTACCTTATCAACCGGGTCCAGAACATCCGGTTCATTTATCACTATCTGATCTCCTACTACCTGCCTGTCAGTTTCAAGTGAGAATCTTCCTAATGTCTGATGTGCAGACCAAGCCGATGAACTTACGTAGCCTCTCTGCCATCGCCTCATCCCTGAATAAGTGGCCACACTTGTCCTCCCCTTGGCATCCTCGCTTGAATGTCATTTAAGATCCACTGATTTAAAAGAAAAAAAGGTTTGTTTTTTTTTTTGGTTTTAGAATTTCACCATGTAATACTTTGTTTTCAGCAGATCTGGTTTCAAGCTGGGGCTTGACATGCCATCTTTGCAAATTGTGCTGTTATTTTTACTAGGATTAGGTGTCCTTGGCCGCGCTAAATTGTGCGTGTGGGTGTTGTGTATTTTAGAGGGTGATGAACTCTTAGAATTTCTTCTCAATCTACACTGAGTCTTCAGATTTAGCACGGTTAAATTGTTCTCTGGATTGCCAACTATTTTAACACTGCTAACCTACCATTTTATACACACACACACACACACACACACACAAACACACACACAGCCTAGAACGTGGTATGCACTCCGTAATTATCTCTGGGTTGAATAAATCGGAAATGAAATTGGAGAAGATGTAGGACACCCTTCTTGTGCTTTTCCCCACCTATTTCACAAGATGTGGACTGTATGGGTGAAATTTGCTTGCTGTTGATCACAGCTCTGTCCCCTCCATCACATTTTCTATTTCTGAAGGAGGAAGCACTAGGAAAATCAGGCCCGTGCTTTTCAGACTGTCTTGGCTGAGGTGGATTTTGTGGGACGTGAAAACCATTTGTTCATCATTGCTGTCACCACAGTGAGAGAAACTTTCCGCAGCACACAGTCCTAGCACCAATGGTAGCTGGAGGAATTGTTTTTCGTACCTTTATTTGGGGTTATGTGTATGTGTCTGTGTGTGTTTGTATGTGTGCATGTATAAAAACATTACGCTTCAGGAGCTGGAACTGTAAGTCAGGAGTCTTTCCTAATAGCTAGAGTATGTGCCATGCCCAGTGCTGAGTGGTGTTGTAGGCCTCATCTCACTTACTTCTCACAGCGACCCTACCCAAGCTTGGCACTATTATTATCACCATTGTACAGTGGCAGACATTGTGGGTTAAGGGACGTTCAGCAACTTGTGTAAGGATATAAAGCTTGGAACTGATACCCTCGCATGTCCAACCAGGCAAACTGGTTCCAAGCACGTCCCTGAGTATACCGAGAGGAAAGAAGATAAATGATAAGAGGGACCCTTAGCTAGTGTTGCCATCTCTGCTTCGTCTAGTTTATTTTATGGAAACTATTGATTCAATAGAGATTCCCGGGGAACTTACCATATTCCAAGCAGGGTGCTAATCACACTGTCGGCCTCATGGCTAGGAGGCACTCATAAGCTTCAGGAAGCTTCTATTCTGACAGGGATGCTTGGGCACACATTTGCACAGCTGCATCCTTCGGGTTTTGTTGGCCTTTCTCTTTTGGCCAGCTCTATAAGGTCAGAGGTCATGGCATCAAGACAGGTTGGGGGGGTTAACCTAGGCTGGAATGAGTCAAGGTGGGGAAATGAACGAGGCTCCCTAGAAGGAAA